AGCTAGTAGGTACCATTTCCCTCCCCAACCCCTTGGCATAGCCTCAGAACCACGTGCCAAGAGTGGGTCACCACAAACTGGCTGCCGAGTTAGCCTGCTTGCTCTAAGCCCCATGCCCTGTGCTCTGGCATCACTGCCCTTGTTGGTCAAATCTGCATCCCTCCTAATGCAGTGAGACCCTCCCCCAGAAGACCAACACAAACCCCCACCACAACACATCCCTAAAGTTTAGAGTTTTTAAAGTCACCAGGCTTGGCTGGGATAGAGCCCAAAGTGCACCATGCTGTTTCTGCCAGGCAAACAACCTGGACACAGACAATGTGAAAACAATGACCTAAAAAATACCTGCGATGCATAGGGGAAGACTGTTTGCTCTTCTGAGAGTGATTCCCTGAGAGTAGCAAGCATGGAGACCTCTCTTCAGGGATAAAGGAGCTGGCTGACACCATTTCCCTCTCCCATCCCTCAGCATAAACCAGCTTCAGTAAATAGCACAGTGCCAACACTGGCTACATAACCTCTTACACCAAGTACTGCCCTGCGGCTGTCAACTGGTACTGCCCTTCTCCAGAATATGTGTCTCAGTCCCAGTACAGTGGGCCCCTTTCCCTGATCAGCAGAAATCCCTGCACACACCAAGTCTCCTGACCAGAGTTCTGCAAGGCTTCAGTTCCAGTGAAAGTAGCATCAGGTCTCATTTAAGAAGCAGACGAGAGCAAACCTGTTAAAACTGGCCACACTCTGGCCAAGGTCCAAACACTGCCCACTGAAGACAAGATTTGCAGATGATGGCCCTGAGGGATAGAGCAAGCCAAAACTCAGCAGCAGAGAGCATGCAGCACACACCAGAGACACTTCTGAAGCACCAGGCCCTGCACGGTATATGACCTCTTCATAAAACATTACCCTGAGGAGGAGGAAACATAACAGGCTTTTCTAACACAAAGAAGACAGAGACATATAGACAAACTGCCAAGATGGAGGAATTCATTCCAAATGAAACACGAAGAGGTCACAGCCAGAGATCTAACTGAAAGAGACAAAAGTAATATGGCTGATGAAGAATTTTTTTTTTTAAAGATTTTATTTATTTGTCAGAGAGAGAGGGAGAGAGAGCGAGCACAGGCAGACAGAATGGCAGGCAGAGGCAGAGGGAGAAGCAGGCTCCCTGCAGAGCAAGGAGCCCGATGCGGGACTCTATGCCAGGACGCTGGGATCACGACCTGAGCCGAAGGCAGCTGCTTAACCAACTGAGCCACCCAGGCGTCCCGCTGATGAAGAATTTAAAGCAACATTACAAGGATACTCACTGAGCTAAAGAAAACTATGGAAGACGTCAGGGAGGCCCTTACCACAGAGAAAAAAGAATTTTAAGAAATCAGAAGTGAAAAATGCAATAATTGAAATCTGAAACAGAGTGGATATAATGAACACCAGGAAGAAGCAGAGAAACAAATAAGTGATACAGAAGACAGAATAATGGAAAATGAGGAAATAGAAGAAAGCAGACCAAGAATTATGGATCATGAGAATAGGCCTAGGGAATTCAATGACTCTATCAAACAAAACAGCCATGATATTAGGAGTCCCAAAAGAAGAAGAGCGAGAATAGGCGGCAGAAAATTTTGTTGAGGAAATAATAGCTTAACGGTTCCCTAATCTGGGCAAGGAAACAGACATCCAAATCCAGGAAGCACAGAGAACTCCCATCAAAATCAACAGAAGCTAGGCCAACACCAAGAAATATTATAGTTAAATTTGAAACATACAGTGCTAAAGAAAAACTCATTAGAGCACCAAGACAAAAGAAGTCCCTAACTTACAAGGGAAGATCCCTGGGACCTGCTACCGATCCTTCCGCAGGAGCTTGGCAGGCTGAAACAGTAGCATGATATATTCAATGTGCTGAAAGGGAAAAGCGTGCAGTCAAGAATAATCTATCCAGCAGGGCTCTTATTCAGAATACAAGGAGAGATAAAGGGTTTCCCAGACAAACAAAAACTAAAGGAATTCATGACCACTAAACCAGCCCTGCAAGAAATATTAAAGGGGACCCTTTGGCAGGAAAGAACAAAGCAACAAACCTAGAACAGAACAGAGAAAATCTCCAGAAACGCTAACAAAACTCTGGTCATGATCCCAGAGTTCTAATAGGGGATCAAGCCCCATGTCAGGCTCTCTGCTCAGCGGGGAGCCTGCTTCTCTCTCTATCTCTCTGCTTGCCTCTCTTTCTGCCAAATAAATATATAAAATCTTTTTTTAAAAAGGACTAATGGTTTATAAATAAATAAATAAATTTTTAAAAAAGAAAAAGGACATGTAGATTAATGAAAAAGAACAGACAATCCTAAAATAAACCTATGTATATATGCCCCATCGATTTTTTACAAAAGTACAAAAGCAATTCAATGGAGAAAGAGTACTCTTCCACAAATGGTGCTGGAACAACTGGACATCTTATGTGTAAAGGCAATGACCCCCAAACTAAACCTCATACCTTATTCAAAAATTAACTCAAAATGGATCATACACCTAAATATATAATGTAAAACTATAAAACTTTTAAAAGAGAGCATAGGAGTAAATCTTCATTACCTGGGATTAGTCTAAGAATTCTCAGCTCTGAAACTAAAAGCATAATCCAGAAAAAAAAAAAGTTGATAAGCTAGGCTTCATCAACTTTTCCTCTTTAAAAGATACATAAGAGCATAAGGATATGCTCTTAAAAGATACAAAGAGCATAAGGAAGACTGGGTGGCTCAGTCATTAGGTGGCTGCCTTTGGCTCAGGTCATGATCCCAAGGTCCTGGGATAGAGACCCACATTGTGCTCCCTGCTCAGGGGAAGGCCTACTTCTCCCTCTCCCACTCCCCCTGCTTGTGTTCCCTCTCTCGCTATCAAATAAATAAAATCTTAAAAAAAAAAAAAAAAAGGTACTCTTAAAAGCATGAAAAAACAAGCTATGTGCTAGGAGAAAACATTTGCAAATCCCGTAACAGATGAAGGATTTAAACCCAGAATATATAAAGAACTCTAAAAATTCAAAATAAGAAAACATTACCAACAAGAAAACTCAATTAAAATGGGCAAAAGGGGGGCGCCTGGGTGGCTCAGTGGGTTAAAGCCTCTCCCTTCAGCTCAGGTCATGATCCTAGGGTCCTGGGATCGAGCTCCGCATTGGGCTCTCTGCTCAGCAGGGAGCCTGCTTCCCCCTCTCTCTCTGCCTGCCTCTCTGCTTACTTGTGATCTCTCTCTGTCAAATAAATAAATAAAATCTTTAAAAAAAAATGGGCAAAAGGTATGACTTGAATGGTTTAATAAGGAGATGCACGAATGACAAATAAGCCCATGAGAAAATATTCAATGTCATTAGCCATGAGGGAAATGCAAAGTTAAAAATTAAAACCATGATGAGCTACCTCTGCATATCTATTACAATGTCTATAATAAAAAGGTATTTATAATACCAACGACTAGTTAGGGTGCACAGCAAGTAGAGCTCTCATACTTGCCGATAAGAATACAAAATGGTATAGCCATCCTGGGAAAAAGTTCCATATCTTCCTATAAAGTTAAACATAAGCTTACCATATGAGTCAGCAATCTTACTCTTGCATATTTACACTAGAGAAATAAACACTTTTATCATAGTAAAACCTGCACATGAATGTTTGGGAGTCATTTTATTCATAATCACCAAAACCTGGGAAAACAAATATCCTTCAGAAGGTGATAAACAAACTGATAGACCTATACAGTGAAATACTCCTCATCAATATAAAGTGAACTGTTGAATATAACATCTTGGATGAATATACAGAACATCACACCGAGTGACAGAACCCAATCATAAGTTTTTACCTCTGATTACAATTACATGACATTTTTGAAGTCAGAACTATAGTTATGAGGAGGAATTAGCGATTCCTAGGGGTTACTAATAGGGGAGACTCTGAATGTTGAGTATGAGGGAGTTTTTTTGTTTTGTTTTGTTTTGCATGCTGAGACTGTTCTGTATTCTGCATACTGGTAGTAGTAGCAGAATTTTTTTTTTAAGATTTTATTTGTTTATTTATTTTAGGGGTGGGGGACAGAGGAAGAGAGGGAATCCTCAAGCAGACTCCCTGCTGAGCACGAACCCTGAGATCATGACCTGAGCTGAAATCAAGAAAAGGCTGCTTAAAAGCACTGACTGAGCCACCCAGGCACCCAGCAGTAACATATATCTATACATCTGTTAAATTCATAGAATCTACATCTTTTTCTTTAAGATTTTTATTTTTAAGTCATCTCTATAGCCAAAGTGAGGCTCCAACTCACAACCCTGAAATTAAGAGTCTCATGCTCTTCCAAACGGAGCTAGCCAGATACCCTAGAATCTACATCACTGAAAGTTCATTTTAAGGTATAATAATTTAAATAAAACATTTAACAAAAAATGTATGAGAACTATAAAAAACATAAGACAATATTTCTCAGCTTTGTTTTTAAAAATGCATAATAGTTAGTACAGGAGCTAATTATCCAAATGAGAACTCTGGATATTTGGATTATGTTAATTTTTTTCCTGTGGTTTTTAAATTTTTCTATAATAATAGATCACTTTTAAAGCTAGGAAAATAAAATTTATTTAATAGGAAATTTTTACTATCCATTCTAATCTTCTAAACTCCAGCAGTTTAGACTGTCACATTCTGTTTCCATTACTTCTTTTGAAAATCATATATGTAAAACATTTTATTTGTATCTTAAATTTGAATTTAATTGTTCTTCAAAAATGTCCTATAAATTATTTAATGATGGGGAAAAACTGAAAATGATTTTCAATATTTTTAATACTATGATATTTAAATGATTGTATTGCTTAAAGTTTCCAAGGAAATTTTTTACTGCATTTTTTAAAACTTCAGAAGTTTGAAAGTTTTCAGTACTTTAAAGTCTATAACATATTAACCCTATAATTTTCTTTTTAATCCTTTTTTCAATTAAAAAAACAACAGACAAGTACTTGACAGAAGAAATGAACTTGAAAAAGACACCTGTGCCGAATCTTTGAGGACTAAGACCTGTAATGAAGAAGGTAATAGTATCCAAATTACCCAAAGTACTTAAAGTGTAACAGAATAAGGTGTTATAGCTGCCAAGAGCTTCCGGTAAATGAATAAAAATAAGAAATCCCTGGGCATTGCTAGTTGGTGTGTTGTAAGACAGTTCTTGGATATTATAATGTAAAATACCAAGTCAGCTGATTATAACAAAGGCTTAATTTTAATGATCATACAAACAAATGAGGGTACCTTATTAAAATACTGATTCTCACTGAATAGGTCTGGAGCAGAGCCCATGATTCTGAATTTCTAACAGGCTCTCAGTAATGTGTATGCTGCTGGCTTGGAGATTATACTTTGAGAAGCCAAGCTTTGAAGGTCACTGAGAAAAATGGCATGATTCTTGCCTAATTTAGTAAGAAAGAAGTACATAGTAAGTTAGACTACAAGTGCTACCCCCTAAAAAACATGAGGAGGTAAGAGAACAATGACTTCCAGCCAAGATGTTCAGCTGAGCGGGTGGCCTTCAAAGGTAAGAATTTCAACATGAAGAAGTTGTATGAGAAATTATAGGAAAAAGCACAAATAGCACATAGATGACTGTGTGTGTGAAGGAACAAAAATAGTATTTGAATGTTCTCACTATGTCCCCTTTTCACTATTCCCTAAAGATAAATCTTAGCTTTGCCTATTTACTTTCTTACCTTTCTCTCTGAAAATGGGTCATTTCTGCTTAACGAAGTCTTTGAGACTGAAGTGCAAAATTTGGAAAACAACAACAAAAATACAGAGAAGGACAAGAGAAACATGTGGAGTTAATGGGCTTCATATGAAGGGTTTTGGGGTTTTTTTTCTGCATAGCCTAGAGGTGGAAGTGCATGAGAGCAACTTGAGCATCTGAGGGAAGTGAACAGGAGGAAAAAAAGAACTTTTCAGAAGTACTGCATAGTGCCAGGCATGTAGCACTTACTTTACTGCTATTCTTTTATAAACTGAGGTCTACCAAGTGTATCTCACAAAGCCTATACAATACATGGTCACAACTCCAACCCAAAATAATATCACTTCACCTCTAAAGTTCTCATCTATAAAGTCAAAATTTCAATGGAATGATTCTTATAAAAGATGAGCAGTTGAATAAACAATTTAAAGCAATGCTTTGAGCATTAGTTTAAAGATAAATGATTCCATGTAGGGGGGGAAAATGGCATTTTCCAATTTTGTTTTCCTTTGAAAAGAAGCATGAAATTAATTCAAGAAGGCCAGCAGCTAATTGATGGTTACTAGTAAGATGGTAGAATAGGAGGTCTCCAGCACTCATTCCCCCCAAAACACGAATTTGGCAACCACCCACAACTAAAAGTGCCATTGTAAGAACTTCAAAATCCAGGTAGAAAGTTGCAATACCCCAGTGGCACCCAAGACAGAGGAAGGACTCTTTGAGAAAGCATACCCTGCCCCAGGACTCTGACTACAGACTCAGGAGCAGCTCTATTACCCCATATACATGTTCTAGCTGCACTCAACCATTGCCATGCTACCAACCCTGCCTCCCGGTGGAGCTGGCAGGGTTGACACCTGCCTGTGACCTTAACAACAAGCCCACAGACTGCAGTTCCAACTGCAGACCTAGAAGCAACCCCCTAACTAGCTCCAACTGCTCAACTGTGATCCCAGGATCAATCTTGTCCACCCAAGGGACCTGGGAGGAAACATACCAATCTGTGTCCCAAGTGACAGGCCTCCCAACTATGGATTCAGAAGCAGCCTATCCACCTGTGTAACCAACACAAGTTATGCCTCCTGACAATCCCGTTAATAAACCAGCTAACCACTGATCTGACTATAGACCTGGAAGCAGCCCATGATCTGATCCTGGAGGCAGGCTTGTTTCCTGGGGACCTGCTGAGTAGGTCTTCACCTGCCAAAATACTTTGTAAAGAATGGATGAAGTTCCTGCTCCTTTAGTTGCACAGACATCAGTGCAAGGCTATAGATTCACAAAAAATCAGGCAAATGTGATACCACCAAAGGAAATGAAGAAAGTTCCATAGCCAATGACAAGGAAATGGAATTCCATGAACTGCTTGACAGAGAATTCCAAAAAATTGTCTTTAAAAAGCTCAGTGAGCTAAAAGAGAACACAGATAACTAAAGAAAGTCCGTAAAACAATGCACGAACAAAATGAGAAGCTCAGAAAATAAAAACAAAACAAAAAAATTTAAAAATAAGGAAATAAAAACTAAAAAAAAAAAATCTGGAGTTGAAGAATAAAATGATAAAACTGAAGATTTCTGTAACTTCAATAACAGAATTAAGCAGAAGAAAGAATCAACAAACTCAAAGACAATTCATTTGAAATTATAAATTTAAATGAACAAACAAGGGACACCTGGTGACTCAGTCAGTTAAGTGGCTGCCTTGGGCTCAGGTCATGATCCCAGGGCCCTGGAATCGAGTCCTGCATCATGCTCCTTGCTCAGCAGGGAGCCTGCTTCTCTCTCGGCCTCTGCCTGCCACTCTGCCTGATTGTGCTCTCTCTCTTTCTCTATAAACAGATAAAATAAACAGATAAAATCTTTAAAAAAAATTCTAAAATTTTTTTAAAGTGTTTTAAAAAATAAATGAACAAACAAGAATGAAAACATGCAAAAAGCCTATAGAACTTAATACAATACCCAAAAGAACCAACAAATCATAGGAGTTTCAGAAGGAGAAGAGAGAGAGAGGAAAAGGGGCCAAAACCTTAAATAATGGTTGAAACATCTCAAATCTATGCAGGAAAATTTCCCAAATATGTTCAACCCAGAGAGGTCATCATGAGACACATTATAACTAAATTGGCAGAAGTCAAAAACAAAGAATTTTCACAGCAACAAGAGAAAAATGACTTATCACTTAAGACTATCAGTGGATTTTTCAGCAGAAACTTTGCAAGTCTAAAGAGGGTGGGTAGATATATTCAAAGCACTGAAAGAAAAATAAACTGCCAAACAAGAATACTTTACCTGGCAAAACTGTACTTTAAGAATAAAAGAGAAGTTACAATGGCAAAGTAGTAAGAGGACCCTATACTTGCCTTGTCCCTCCAGCAGAGCTAGATAAATATCAAATCATTCTAAACACCCAGGAAGTCAATCTGAAAACTGAGAAAACAAACTGCAGAACCAGAAGGAGAAAAGAGGCCACATCCTGGAAACTAGGAGATTGGCAGAGATGTGATTTGGGGGAGAAAAGAATCACAGCTGCTATGGAGGGGAGGGAGCCTGATCTGAGAGAGAGGAGAGAGAAAGAGAGAGTGAATAGAGCAAGGGGCATTGTACAAGAAAAACACTTCCCAAAACTACTGATGGAGAAAATGAGAGGGGCTGATTTTTGCAAGTTTTTAGAAGCAGCAGAGCTCAGAGACTGAAGTTTTAAAAGTCTTCAACATGGGGAAAGCCTGGTGGATATAGAGGTTCTCCTGTGGAGAAGGAGGTCAGAGGCCCAGGAGCAGAAGTGGATAGTGTGTTCTGAGGATCCCCCCTGAGTGGCATTGGGAGATACAGATCTCCTTCTTGGAATGTATTTGGAAGAGGTGGCAATGTCCCTCCAGGGACAAAAGAGCCTGTGGGCAACACTGAGCTGCTCTGTTCATTAGCATACAAACAGAGACACCTGCTGAGGGCAGGTCACCTGGACACTGGCTTTTTCCTGCACTTTACCATAAACTCCAAGCCCCTGTATATTTGTGAAACTGATCTTCTGGGACAAACTGGCACCAGCCACAGCTTGACCAGACCATCCCCCAGTGGATCAGTGTGGGTCTGTACGGCACTGGGTCCCTAAAATTTGGAGTTTTGAAACCTAGCCAGAGTGTCAGAGATAAAACACAGGAGCACTGCATGACGGGGTAGGCAGATGGCTCAGACACAGATAGAGTGAAGGCAGTGATCTGAGGGATGCCTGGGACAAATGAGAGGAAATTGTTTGCTTTTCTCTTCCTGAGCAGCAGTGGGTGCACACTCTGCTCTCTGGGAACCAGAGAGCACACTGATGCCATTTCCCCACCCCATTCCACCCCACCTCAGTGAGCACCAAAGCGCCCCACAGTGGAGGCCTGAGCCATTTACACCAAGCCTCGCCCCTCTGCACTCTATGGATGCTTCTGAACTAGGACAAATGTGCCTGAGAGTCAGAACGGTAGTGAGCCTCTCCCCCAAAAGACTAGCAGGAACTCCCTGCATGCATCAAGTCTAGTGACCAGAGTGCCGAAGAGCTTCAACTCTAGGGGAAATAGGATCTAGCCTCTTTTTAACAAGCAGACCAAAACACGCCTAGTTAAAACACTAACCACTACAGGCAAAGAGGAACTCTGGAGAGAACTGACCTGACGGAACAAGCAGCCAAAACACAACAGCAGACTGTACACAGAATACACCAGAAACACTTCCTGAAGTGCCAGGCAATATACCTCTTAGTCATTACTCTCAGGAGCATGAAACATAACAGCCTTTCATAACAAAGATGACAGAGACCTAGACAAAATGTCAAGATGGAGGAATTTACTGCAAAAGAAAAAATAAGAAGAGATAACAGTAAGGGATCTAATCAAAACAGACATAAGTAAATATGCCTGAACCAGAATTTAAAACAACAATCAGAAGGATACTAGCTGGGCTTAAGAAAAGCATAGAAAACACCAGAGTTCCTTAGTGCAGAGATAAAAAACCTAAAAACTAGTCAGACCAAAATTAAAAAAAAAAAATGCTATAACCAAGACACAGTAATGACCACAAGGATAGAAGAAGTAGAAGAATGAATACGTGATACAGAAAATAAAATTACAGAAAATATTAAAGCTAAAAAGAAGAGGGAAAGAAAAATATTGATCATGAATACAGACTTAGGGAATTCAATGACTCTGTAAAGTTTAACAACATTCATATCATAAGAGTTCCAGAAGAAGAGAGGGGAAAATGGGGAGAAGGTTTATTTGATCAAATTATAGCTGAAAACCTCCCTAATCTAGAGGAGGAGACAGACATCCAA